CTTTCCTACTCTCTTTATTTCAATTCTCTCTGACTCTCTCACACGAGAGAGATAAATTTACTTAGAGAGTGAGTGGGAGAGAGATGGGGGATCAAAATCTCTCGATCTCTTGTTTCCACTACCTCTCTCTCTCTCTCTCATTCTCACTATCTTTCACTCTAGATCTCTCTCTGTCCCCATCTTTTTCTCACCCTCTCTATCTTCCCCAATTTCTCTATTGCTCTCAACCTCCCTTTAGATTTATATCCTTCTGCTCTTTTTTTCTTGCTCTAGTGAAAGAAAAGGAGAAAGAGAGAAAAGAAGAGAGGGAGGAAGAGAAAGAAAGAAAGGAGAGCATCTAAATTGTGAGAGATAGAGAGAGGAGACAAGTTGATAAATCAATAAGAAGTAAAGATTGAGTGAATGAGTTAGAAAGAGTGGGGGAAAAGAGAGGGAAGAAGAGATTAATGGAGCGTGATAGACAAAGAAATGAGAGATGGAGGGAGAGAGAGAAAGAAGAAGAAAGATAGAGTGGGATAGAGGTAGAGAGAGAGTGTGTGAAAGAGAGAGAGAGAAAGTAAGGAAAAGGGGGAGACAAGGGAACGTAGAGAGGGGTAGAGAGAGAATAGAGATATTACTCTATCTTAATTCTCTCTTTTTCTCTCTTTTAAACTATCATCCTATCTTTTTGTCCTGATATCTCGCTCACTCTCTCTCTATCCATTCTCTATTTCCTTCACTATCTCTCTCTCTCTCTCGATATATCCCCATCACTCTCTGTTTCTCTCCCAATATTTGTCACTTTTGCTCACTCACTACTCTCTCTTTCCCCATTCTCCCTCTCCATCTTACATTATCTTATCTCTTATCTTTCTTCTCTCCCTAAACTATTAACCTATTTCTCCCCATCATTCTCTCCCTCCCTCTCTCTCACTCCCATGCTTCTGCCACCCATGATATCTCTATTTCTTTCTATATCTTACAAAAAGAGTGAAGAGAGTGACTTGTTGATAGTTTGAGAGAAAGTGTGTGACAAAGAGAGAGATAGAAGAGATAGCAAAGTAAAGAGAATGAGTAATTACAAGAAAGACATCATGAGAGATAGCTAGTGAGAGCTCTCTATGTTTCTCTCTAACACAAACTTTCTCTCACTGTCTCTCTTCATTATCTCTCCCACTCCCCCCCCTTTGAAGGGTAAGAGGGATGTAGGGAGGAAGGAGGAAAAGAGAGAAAACAAGCTACAGAGGAAGAGAAAGGGAGAGTGACAGAGTGGAAGAGAGATAGTTTACGGGAGAGATTTAGAGTGGAAGAGAGTTAAAATGGGAGGGAGGCTAGGAGGAAAACCGAGTTGAAGATATATAAAGTGAGAGAAAGAAAGGGTGGAAAAGAGAATGAGGATGACAAAGAGAAGGGTGAGAGAGAGAAAAGAGGGAGGGAGGCTGGGTGATAGAGAAAGTATACGTGAGATTGTGTAAGTGAGAGTGAGTGTGAGGTAGAGAGCAAGAGTTTGAGAGATTTAGTGTGGGAGAGAGTTAAAATAAAAGAAGAGAGAGAAAGTGAGCAATTGAGAGATTTTGAAGAGATGGGAGAGGATAAAGAGAGTAGAAAGAGGACATAAGTTTGTGCATGTGAGAGAGAGAGAGAGAGAAAGAGTTCTCCCTCTCCTTCAACTCTGTATTTACTCTCTCCCACAAGCACCTTCCATCTCTCCATCAATCATTTACACACACTCTCTCTCTCTCTCCCTCCCTCCTTTTTTTGCTTCATTTCTAGCTCACTCCTTCCCTCTCTTCCCTCTCTTCTATCCTCACCCTCTTTTTTTTCTCTCTCTCCCTTCCCATCTTTCTCTCACTCTCTCTACATTTCTCATGCACGCCTTCTCACCCTTATCTCTCACTCTCTTCCCCTCTCCTCCCTCCCTCTCTTCCCTCTTTTTTTCCCTCCCTCTCTCTCTCCCAAACCTCTCTATCTTTTTATTTATATATATCTCTCTCTCATTCCTTCTTACTGTCATTCTCTATTGTTATTTCTCTTCTCTCAAGCTCTTAATCTAGTTGTATCCCTCCCTCCAACTTACATTCTACCATTCTTTGCCTCCCTATTTATTTCTTTTCTCTCACCCTTTCTCTCCAGTTCTCCCTCAAAACAAATCTCCCTCTCTGTCTCTCTTTCTCTCGCTCCTCCTTTCTATGCTCTCTTTGGATTGCTGGCTCTCTCTCACCCTTTATGTCAACTTTCCTTCTTTCTCTCTATGTCTCTTCTCTCCCGCTCTCTCCCCATCACTCTCTCTCCCTCACACCTCTCTTTTGCTCTCTCCACCTCAGAGATAGGGAGAACCTGACTATCTTTCTGTCTTCCATCTCTCCCTCACTCTATCGCTATATCTCTCCACTGTCATTCTCTCTTTCACTCTCTCCCCCTCTCATTCTTGATATATCTCTCCCTCCCACCCTTTCTCTCACTCTATCCCTGTTTCACTCTCTACCTTAATATCCCTCATTCTTTCTCTTTCTCTTTCTCTCATCTTTTTATAGCTTTAAATCTCTCTCTCTCTCTCTCTTCCCCTCTGAGTATCCCTCTCTCTTATATCTCTATCCGCCTTTCACTTCTCTATCTCTCCTCTCTATCCCTCCCTTATTACACACAATATCTCCCAAACAATCAACATGTCACTCTGTCCTCATCTCTTCTAACAAGTGGGAGAGTAAGAGATATCAAGAGTAGGAGAAGCATGGGAATGAGGAGATACAGAGAGACTGAGAGAGTGAGAGAGAAAGAGTGATAGAGATCAAGAAGGACTGGTTGATAGCTCAAGAAAGGGAAAGA